TTATCAATCTAGCATATGTTGCAAAATGAATTAAAAACGCAACAAATAGTTCCTAATTAATCGTTTTTTTTCTATGCAGGAGGAAAATATCATTTAAAAGCAGAATGAAAATGAAGAAAATTTTATTTAACTTCAACATTATATGTATCTCGTATTTTATGAATTCTAGACGATTTCATTGTTGTCGAATAAAGTATAATAATTTTGCTTATAACTCCCGTACTGAACAATTTGGTTAATTCTGAACCTGTATTTTTTTTTCAAATATTTGTTTAAAATATATATTTACGATAAATTATGGTAAACAAGATCAACAAGAAAAGATCGCGTTTAATTACGCAAACCGCACACGAACTTTCATACAAAAGATAGAAATCTCAGTTATCATGAAAAGTTGTTTAATGATTAATTTAATTACGGAAGATAATGTTGGGCAAATGTTTTGTTTGTATCTCATTAAGGAAATTAAACTATAAGCAATGTGCAGTATTACTAGTATGTAAACGTGTATCATACGCACAAATGTTAAACTAAATTAAACAAAATACAGTACCTATAAAACAAAGTACAATATGTTTTTTTAAAAGAAAGCTTAAAGATATACTATGCTCATCTTTAAGTAAATTAATCTAATCGAAGAAATTAATTAAAACATATAAATTCTTACTGCATATGTCTTATTTGAATAAGAAATGAATAGAGTATGATTTGGAAGTCACGTTCTCTATTATAGGACAAATAAAGTTGGTCTTTTCTTATATTTACACAAGTTTATATTCAAATTGTGACGAACTATAGTGTGTACAGTTTTAAACATGACACATCAACTTTGTGTGAAGTCAAAACAGAATAAACGTTTCGTCTTCATCAAAACTGCGAAATGTTTCTGTTTGTTTTTCCAACAATTTCATTTTTTTCAATTAAATGATATCAAACCCGATCTTGTCTATTACGCAATTGTTGATTTACTCTTTATATCATTAATCCATTTATGGTCATTACTCAACATTCAATAACACATTGTTTATATCAAATAATTATTCCTATGGTAGTCTTTAATTTTACAATATTTAATGGTTAAAGCGAGCACAAATCTATAAAATAACAATAGATCAGTGAGTGATGACGCATTCAAATAAACGCAGTGAATGGCGCGTTAAAAAGGATTTTGTTATCTTTAATTTCCGGGCCATAAGTAAACAGTGCTACTCATAAATTGGTGTTATTGTCATCGGTTACCATTGAATAAGCGCTCTTATAGTCATAATTAAAGCACATTCCGGTTACATACATGTATATTTTGAGTCACAACTACAGCAGAAGAGAATGGTTGATATTGAAAAAGAAAGATCATCACTCTCATATTAGGATAAGATCATCTGTAAAACTTATATAAGAGTCAAGGACGGCGACACCGATTACGAGAGTGCGTTTAAAACAAATGTAATTAAGAAATGAAACTTAGAGGCCACACGATAAAAATGTTTCAAGATCCAGCAATACAAAATAAACTGTATTAGGAATAATTGCCACACGTCATTAGTTTAGGAAACGGTAGATGTTTGTCAATAGTAAGCCGTAATGCGATTTGTTAAAATATTAAAAAATGTTTTGATAAATAGTTTTATAATATTTGATTAATAAGTGTATCAATCTTATATTGTATATTTGTACATACGTTGATGATGTATACAAATCAACAACAGAGAAAATAACAGCAATTTTCAATTTATCGAATTGAAGTTACATCATTTTGAAAGATAAAACACGAAGGAAAGTTGATATTCACCGAAAGATGGATGAATTTGAAATGCGATATTCAAACATTTGCTCAAGTAAGATGAATAATGAAAAGCAAGTTAATCGCAACAAATAAACCAACAAATCTATCTCTTTTCATTGTTTCTAACGTATCTTTTACATTGTGTCATTACCATGAAAATAAACTATTGTTTAAAAATATTGAGTCTTGGGAAAAATCTTGCATGAAATATCTCGCTTAAACCAAATACAAAAATCTAACATATTTTTGAAAGAGAATTCAAATCAAAACAAAATGTTCATAGTTTTTTTTTTACTATGCAAGAGGAAAAAAATCAATTAATCTAAAAAAATTCTATAAATTATATTTGATTGGAGTGTGGTTAAAAGCAGAATATTATTCCAAATTCACATTTTTCTTCAACTTCCATTGAAGCATTATGCTTGGTTTAATATCAACATCAACATCAACTATTACAATAAATCTTTTATCGTTTAAGATTGATACCTTTTAAATATTATACAATGGTGCACCGAAATCGCACGAATAAAGTCGAACAGCATCTTTATCGAATATCACAGTAGTGTTGTGTCCCGAGGGTTCACACTTTTTCCAGATTTTTATACTTCACAACAGTGGCAGCTGTACAAAGTTGTACAAAGCCGGTACTAGGGGTGCTAGGGGTGTGAAAAATGTTACACTTTATCATTATCCCTCTTATACAGACTCTATCCAAAACGAATCTGCAATTTTCAAGTAATTTTGTTGTTATTAATGCTTGTGAGGGATCACCTTTTATCCAGATTTTTATACTTTCATGCTGTGGCAGCTGTTCAAAGTTACCCCGTAATTCACTTCAGTGTTGTAATATTTTTCTGGTCCTTCGGGGTCATTGGTAACAGCACATTTAAGTGTTGATGATGGAGTGCCGCTAAAGCTGGTGCTATGGGGAGTGAGGGGTGTCGCACTTTATGAATATCACTCATGCACAGACTCTTTCAAATCGAGCCTGCAATTTAAATATAATTTTGTTGTGATTAATACTTCCAAGGGATCACTCTTTATCCAGATTCTATCTCGTAATGGGGATCTTTTAATCTTATGAAAATGTTAAGATGAAAATTCAACCATGATTTGTATGTCAGGAATTGTGCTCAGTAGTTTAATTCTTAAATAAAATAATCGTGATTGCATCAGAAAAGTATGGTGGCATATTTCTGCCACCAGATAACCTGATAACTAACTAGTTAATTAAGAGGTTAACTAGTTACGTAACTAGTTAACCTGATAACTTACTAGTTAATTAAGAGGTTAACTAGTTACGTAACTAGTTAACCTGATAACTTACTAGTTAATTAAGAGGTTAACTAGTTACGTAACTAGTTAACCTGATACCTAACTAGTTAATTAAGAGGTTAACTAGTTACGTAACTAGTTAACCTGATAACTAACTAGTTAATTAAGAGATTAACTAGTTACGTAACTAGTTAACCTGATAACAAATTAGTTAATTAAGAGGTTAACTAGTTACGTAACTAGTTAACCTCTTAATTAACTAGTTAGTTATATGGTTATCTGGTGGCAGAAATATGCCACCATAGAAAAGATAATATAGCAACCTCATTTTTTGTGAGGCATTTATTAAGTTCATCTATTCAAAAATAATACAGCCCATAAAATAATCTACACTTTTATCAATATGTATACTTTTGTCTATGTTAAACAGTTAAATTACGCTTATATAGGTCTTTTCTGTTTTTATATGGAAGTTTCTTTCGATTAAAAATGACCACAGGAAAGAATTGAATAAACATTCATTCTTTAAGGAAAAATGTGGACAGATGACGGACGACGGACATTCAACGATTCTTAAAGCTCAACCTGATGAAGCTCAGATGAGCTAGAACGTAAGATAGTGAACCCATACTTATTTCATCTATTTGTTTTAATCATTGGTTTTATTAATCATGCGATGTGTAAGATAAGTCTTTGCTCTAGGTTAAATTTCCGAACTTTAACTTCATTAAAAAACCTCAAATTTCTCAATATAATTTATGCATTCATTTCATAAGACAATAAACTTATCAACTTATCATAGTAAGAATACCATTGAGGAAATTTTTTAAAAGATTACTCAAACTCTGCGGATTCTATATTCACGAAATGTGTCAAACCCTTTATTGGTCAGTCGTGATTCATTAAAAGCTGAGGCCCGGAAAATAAATATTTCCTGTTTTAATCATTTTTCTAAAGTCAATGCAAAATAGAAAAATTCATAGCAAAAGTGTTATAGACATGGATAGAATTAAATTTTGAATGGTATGTAATTTTATAATAGCAATTTTTATTTTAAGCTTATATGTGATATACTAGGTTTAATTTGTAAAATAAAATTCATATCTCTCAAAATGTGAAAGATTTATGATTTTTTCTGCTAGTGTGACTAGAAGCTTTAATATTTTGTAAATTCGAAATTTATTGTTCATGAAAATTAATTGTTGCATTTTGATTTTTGCATATTTTGCAAATCTAATTTTACTTCTTTAGTAAAATAAAGTGAAGTAAAACTGTGACCCCGCATTTTTGCTTTTTGCATATTTTGCAAATCTAATTTTACTACTTCAGTAAAATAAATTGAAGTAAAACTGTGGCCCTACATTGAGGACTATAAATTTGAAATACCATAGTTTATGAAGTGTTTGCATAGCCCTTGAATGTCTGATGTTCCATGTTTTTACATCGGTCCATTGAAAACGATAAAACAAATTTTCCTTTTCTTATGTATAAGGCATTCATGATTAAAAAGAAAATGTTTGTATTTCATGTAGAAGAGAATAAATATTGCATTTTTTGTACTTTCAGTCTAATAAATGAATTATAAAATAATTTCACAAAAAATTCTTCAGAAATCTTAAATTACTTTTGTTAAATCAACGTTCATGTAGCTAGCCGGCAAATCTTCATAAGTGCATCTTTTTCCCGCGATTTTATAAAAACAGTCTCTTTTCACTTCTTAATGTTCTATATTGCAAATTCGATCAAATTAATATCTTCTTTTATCTATCTCAGTTTAGAATGTTTCAAGCAATTTGCGGATACATACGTTTCAAACAAGAATTAATTGTCACATTCTAGGAAACCTATGAAAAGTTTGATTTGGCAACGTTTAATGAAATAATGATGTCAATCATTACCTGTTTACTATACTAAAGTAATAATGTATCTTGTTGCAGATATAGTTTTCCAAGAATCACTGAACATATGAAAGCAGACAGAATGAAAACGAAGATACTTGTTCTGTTCCTTCTGTTTTTACATTTACAGTTTCCTAAAGGTAAAACAAAGGTTACATCAATCTCTGATAGACAAATACTACCAAACACGTCTTGCAGGATACAACATTATCAGGGTTTAAAGCTCATGAACTGCAGTTATCTGAATTTGACATACATACCAAAGACAAAACCAGACATTGAAAGCTTGAATTTTAAATTCAATAAACTAACAAACGTTACTCAAAAGACTTTCTTGAATATTAGTAATCCATTTCGTTTGGTTTGGCTTAAAGTCGACAACAACAATATAAGAAATATATCAAAGGGGGCACTTGACATATTTCCAAATTTGAACTTTCTGAGTTTGTCACATAATCCAATTTACTTCGATAACCTAAAGAATCTTTTGGGCTCATTATCTAACTTAACAAAACTGTCTGATTTGTATATCAGCGGGATAAGCACTATAACATTAAATGCAGATCTGTTTTCTTTGCTGGAAGAAAATTGGATTAAAAACCTGGTAACTAAGAGTTACAACACAGAAACAATGGATATGAATATGTTTCAAAATTTTAATCAGCTGCGTACTCTCATAGTAACACACAATCATATTGAAACTATAGCAATGTCATCGCCTGGTAATAAATACATGCAATCGTTGTACATAGAACAAAATAACTTAAGGGCTTTACCAACATTTGCAATCAACGGAAGCGAGTCAAACTGCTTTTTTCCAAATCTACAACATTTATATGCCAAGATAAACAAAATTGAAAATGTGAGAATGGAAGATCTGAAGTGCTTATTGAGATTAAAAACCCTGGATTTGAGTAAAAATCTAATCACTGTATTACATGCTAACTTTTTATCAAAATTACCAAATATCGAGGTGTTACGGTTAAAGGATTTAACCACACAAAGCTTAATAGTGGAACCATTTGCTTTTAATTCAACATTATCAGTACTTCAGTTAGAAGTCAGCGGTTCAGCAAAATATGTTTTCCAGTCTTTGAATAATACATTCAAATCATTGCCAAATTTAAAGGAGCTCATATTAAGCGAAATATCAATGCTTCGTTTATCTGAACAAGAAATAATAAGTCTGTTTAAACCTATTAGTCATTTAGAATACTTACAGTTGTTTGGCTGTCAAATAGCATCGGATCCGAAATTTCTTTTGAATCACATGAAGCATTTATCACATATCAGTTTTCAGTCTAATTTGATAACTAGTATAAGTGACGAAACATTCAAAGAAAACAAGCATCTCCGTTATATAAGTTTACGATACAACCAACTGGGTCATATTTACGAGTCAGCCTTGCCAAAATCTTTACGTGATATGTTATACGAAATAGACATTAGTGAAAATCCTTTTGTTTGTGATTGTGACCTTGAATGGTTTATTAACTGGGCAAATCAGAGTTATAACAAAACGAAATTACAAAGATATCCTAACGAGTATACGTGTTCGGCTCCAACAGAAAGAGCAAAACAAGCATTGGCTGACATACAGTTTACTTACAGAGAATGTCATCCGTTGAGCAAGTGGATTTATTTCGGAATCATTGCTTCGTCTACTTTATTTGTTATTGGTGTTATCGCTCTAGTATTCTATAGAAACCGATGGAATATTAAACACTACATATACCTGATGCGAAGGAAACGACATTATGAGCTGATTGATGGAGATAACTTTGTTTATGACGCCTTTGTAGGTTACGAGTCGGAGGACTCGGCCTGGGTACACCATCAATTGTTGCCTGTCCTTGAGGACGAAGAAGGTTTGAAATTATGTATCCATGTAAGAGATTTTGTACCAGGAGTTTTCATAAATGATAATATTGTTACACATATGAACCAGAGTAAAAAAATGATTCTTGTCTTATCAAACGCATTTGCACAAAGCGGATGGTGTATGTTCGAGTTAAAAATTGCACATTCTAAACTGATTGAAGAGGAAACGGAACTAGTGGTCATATTGTTAGAGAAAATCGATGGAAGAAATATGAATCATTCTTTGAAATGTCTTTTCAATACCACAACGTACATTGAATGGACAGAGGATAGAGTTGGTCAAGAACTGTTTTGGACACAACTTAAAAACATTATGAACAAATAAATATTGGAACAAAATATCTGATAACCAATGAAAAGATAGATAAAATATGATATTATACTTGTTTCCGGAATATTAACATGTACTGAAGTCCAAAATACATTAATAATGGTGATAAAATATATTGTGAAAATATATAGAATCTTTATATGCCTAGATTGTAGTTGTGGCTTGTATTTTGTTCTTTTCAAATTAATTTGTAAAGAAAACAATTTACTACTCGTTAAATTCAATTATAGTAATAGAATTCCTGAAGAACGCTCAAAACGGCAGATTTATTGCAGGCTCAGTTTGATTAGGTATGTCCATTGCCGGCACTCGAAAGTACAAGCTACCGTTCAAGCCCCTAGCACAGGCCTAGCAGAAATCAACATTCAAAATATGAAAACGGTCATAATTTGAAACTGAAACATCAGCAGATGCGTTCATGAGCATGTATATTTATATTCAACGGAAAGCCTATTTCAACTGAAAACAATGTACTCTTCGTCATAAATTAATTCTGTTCTCTTTGTCAATCCGAAGCAATAAATGCAAATATAGATATATTTACGCTTATATTAAAGTCTGTATTAAATCATACACTTGTAGTTTGAAAATATAATCATAAACTGTTTAGGTAACGTATAATTAACACGGGCCTGGTGTCCGTCTTAACTGTGTTATCTATGTTTTTGTAAATACAGTCATGTCTTTTTGTAATAGAACATTAACTATCTGATTCATTGTTATTTCTGTCTATATGTTTGTAATCTTATGTCTCTTTAAAGGGATACACAGGCAAAATTTTCATTTTTTCGTTTTGAATATTTCATTCATTAATCTGTTAATGTCCTCAAAATGAATACACTAAGCAGTCACAGGAACAAATTTTTATCCTTATAAAGAATAAAATGGTGGTTTCCTATCCTGACCCACGTGGGTCAGGTTAGAGCGTTAAGATTTCACAATAGTTGTCACAGTGATATCTGGAAACGTTAAAGAACGTGTCAAATGAATGATTTAGGTTTGTTTCAATCATACACTATCCACAATATCTGATATGATAACTTCTAGGGTTTGTTCAAGCCACATTTCTAGTTTTAAAACTACTCGGTGATTCTGTCGGCGTCTAAATTTTGTTTAACATTTATTGATATATTTACGCTTCAAACCAAAAATATATAGATTTTTTTTACAGAAATTCATGCTGGGACTTTTACAAATGTCATTTTATCATGATTCGAGTACATAATATAATTTTGATATTTTTGTCATAAATTTGCCTGAATATCCCTTTAATAAAGAATATATTTACTGACTTTTGACTAATGTTTATGTGTATCTATATGATTTTTCACTCCTGTCAATATACCGTTATCGTCACTAATAGCAAACTCGGATACAACGTACACTTCTGTTATAAGAAACACTTCCGCTTGGTTCCAATTTTTCTTCTTCTTTATCTTATACACGGGGGAGAATCACGCCGTTCGTTACCCAAAGAAACAAGATGGCGGATGCAGCCGAAAAGTAAGTTTTTCATTTTCTTCTCTGAAATTCGTAATGTTCTTGTGTAAATGTAAATATAATAACCTACTCCACAATTTTTCGGGCACACATGATATTATTTCACCAGAATCAAAGCGAAAGAATTTTCCAACGGTTTGATCGTGGTAACGTACGGTTTCGTCTCTCAAATTCACTGTTTCTTTTACATATATGCATATTAACTGAAACCACTGACTTTTAAATGTTATAATATTTAGACTTAGAAATACATACAGAATGCTTTGCAAATCTCAACATTACTGACGGTATATCGGCGATGGAACAAGATACTTAATTCCCCCGCCGAAATTTTAAAAGGCTTTAAAGATTACATTTTCAATACGAACTAGTTAAATTAAACGAGCAATTTATCCAATTTCAGCCCTTTCGAATAATTTAATCCTTATAGGGCGGGGGTGAAGTGTCTTGTTCAAGCTCTGATTTGCGAAGCAATATGCATGCATAATCCTAAAAATGAATTATATCGTTGGTTCAAACCCCAGAATGATAAACTTTTTTCTTCCTTTTTTTCCTTTATACTTTATTTAGTTTCTCTCATATCCCTTTTGGGAAGAAAAAGTGTTTATTATAATAATTTAATTAGTATAGGTATTTACTGGTTGTAAAATGCTAAATCTAGTAACAAATATGGTACCCGATATTTACAAAGTGTAATAAAATCAAATAATAGAGAAAAACAGAACCCCTAAAGAAAGCTCAAGACGACAAAATTGAAAATGTTGCAGGCTCGGTTTGATTGAGCCTGTACATGGACTGTACTGGAAAGTGCAGGTTACCGTCCATGCCCAACTAGCACCGGCTTAAGCAGAAATTCAATATTTAAACAAGCAAATCTTGAAATTTTGAATCTAAAAACATCCGCAGATGTGTTCATACGGCGGTAATCAAGGAACCTTCAATGTGACACAGTAGTGTCATTTCATGAAAAGCGGCGTATGGTCCCAAAATAAAAGAATACGTGTGCCATACACGAGAAAACAATGGGAGGAACTAAATAAAATGTAATTTTGAAAGGGGATATGAGGTTATGAAGCCTGCATATCACAGACAAGACGTCAAAAGACAATTTAAAAAGCAAGCAACATATCCTAAGGGTGATTGTACAGTATTCAAGTAGAAAAACTGGAACCACCCAAATTGAAAAAGGCCAAATAGAAGATACTGAAAATACCACATAACATGTATACACAACAATTATGTCGTGCTGAACGATCTTAAAGGATCGAAAATATAACATATTTGATTAAATCTACGGGGATTCTTTTACAGCCGCCACACGGAACAAACTACACAGTAAAAATATACAATAAATTACAAAATCTTTCCATATACTTTTAGAGGAAACTTTTAAAACAGGCACTCATTTTGGTAATTTTTAGGGATTTTTCTATTAGGCTCTCTAAATGGGAAAATGAGCATACACGTGTAAAAATGGGTGGGGTAGGGTACCCAAGTTATAAAAATTTCATAAATTTTGAGTAGAAACATTTTGCTGATGTGGATTGTTAGATGAATGTTACTTTTTGTTTCTTACTAAAGATTAACGGGAAAACATGTTTCGTAAGAAAGATATTGTAGATTTTTTAAAAAAAATTGAATTACTGAAAAATGGCCCTTTTAACATCCTAACTGAAGTTCAGAAAGCAAGACCATAACTCGATTTCCATCAGATAAAGACTACAACAACAAATAAATCGGCGTCTTTTGCATTTCGACATTTCGTAGTTATATTTATTAAAAATGTACTACTTTCTTTAACAATATTCTTCCTTTATCACCGGTTATTTCATATTCAGAATTATTTTCGTCAGGTGTATAGCATCTTACATGTTCTAAAGCTGTTATTACAACATTACAAAATACATGTCTGCCCTTCCTACAGAAAAATATTCTAAGGAACATTAAGCGCCTCTTGTTTTTATTTTAGAATTAACATTTAGTCAGCATGAATATCATGAAATAAATATTCATCGATGTTTTATTAAACTTTATAAAACACTACCATGTCAACGACAAGGTAAATATGAAAGTGTTGTTTTACTTTTTATACCATAAATCCCTTTATGGTCATAACTCCACATCCAAAAATCTATTGTTTATATCATACAATCATTTCTATGACAATCTTAAATTAAACAACATTTAATTATAAGAGCAAGTACGAATCTTTAAAATAGCAATTAACGCATTTAAATAAAATACTAGTGTGACACAAGAGCACTGTGATATCTTTATTTTCCGAGCCAAATGTAAACATTGTAACCCGTAAATTTATGACGTAAACATGATGCTATTTCCTTCTACATTGTTATAATTATTGCACGTTATATAACATATTTCACTTTGAAAAGTAGCTCATTGCATTCAATACAACCGTAGTGGCCTATCCTTGAAGCTTTTTTTTTTACATTTATCGTTCGTTATCCATATAGTTTGCCTTAAATTAAAGTAAATACCTTAAGGTCCAATTTAATCTTTGTATTATTGATACTGGTACCAATGTTTATTTATGTATTTTGCAAGAACTATGTATTAGCATGGAATGTTTTAAATTACAATGAAGATGACAATTTACATTTTAATATCTTAAAGAGCATTCCTATTAGAAGAAACACATGTTAATTCAGGGTTTAAATGACTGGATTATCAGCAACAACAGTGATTGACGAATAGGATAGGTAAAAGTTACAAATCTTGGTAATATAAAGAAAAATAAACTGCAATGGAGCCGTTGGCTATTTGAGATTTTTTTTAGGTAGCAAGTACTTCAATATTTGTTATAAACACTTGGTATATCGTCGGATACCCACGATTGACTAACATGAAATATAAAATGTAATCAGCCGTTGGTTTCCGACGATGATAACGGTTAATTCTCGGCCGTGGGTATTAGACGATGTGAAATGTTAATGATTTGGCTAAAGTTATTCGACGATGATCAATGTTAATGGTCTGGTTATAATTATCCGACGATGATCAATGTTAATTTTCGGCCGTGGGTATCCGGCGATAATAAATGTCAATGTCTAGGACGTAGGTATCCGACGATAATAAATGTCAATGTCTAGGATGTAGGAATCCGGCGATGATGAATGACAATGTCTAGGACGTAGGTATCCGACGATGATAAATGTCAATGTCTAGGATGTAGGTATCAGGCGATGATGAATGACAATGTCTAGGACGTAGGTATCCGGCGATAATAAATGTCAATGTCTAGGACGTAGGTATCCGACGATAATAAATGTCAATGTCTAGGATGTAGGAATCCGGCGATGATGAATGACAATGTCTATGACAATGTCTATGACGTAGGTATCCGACGATGATAAATGTCAATATCTAGGATGTAGATATCCGACAATGATAAATGTCAATGTCTAGGATGTAGGTATCCGACAATGATAAATGTCAATGTCTAGGATGTAGATATCCGACAATGATAAATGTCAATGTCTAGGACGTAGGTATCCGACAATGATAAATGTCAATGTCTAGGATGTAGATATCCGACAATGATAAATGTCAATGTCTAGGATGTAGGAATCCGACAATGATAAATGTCAATGTCTAGGACGTAGGTATCCGGCGATGATAAATGTCAATGTCTAGGATGTAGGTATCCGACGATGATAAATGTCAATGTCTAGGACGTAGGTATCCGAGGATAATAAATGTCAATGTCTAGGACGTAGGTATCCGAGGATAATAAATGTCAATGTCTAGGACGTAGGTATCCGACGATAATAAATGTCAATGTCTAGGACGTAGGTATCCGGCGATGATAAATGTCAATGTCTAGGATGTAGGTATCCGACGATGATAAATGTCAACGTCTAGGATGTAGATATCCGACAATGATAAATGTCAATGTCTAGGACGTAGGTATCCGGCGATGATAAATGTCAATGTCTAGGATGTAGGTATCCGACGATGATAAATGTCAATGTCTAGGACGTAGGTATCCGAGGATAATAAATGTCAATGTCTAGGACGTAGGTATCCGAGGATAATAAATGTCAATGTCTAAGACGTAGGTATCCGACGATAATAAATGTCAATGTCTAGGACGTAGGTATCCGGCGATGATAAATGTCAATGTCTAGGATGTAGGAATCCGACAATGATAAATGTCAATGTCTAGGATGTAGATATCCGACAATGATAAATGTCAATGTCTAGGATGTAGGTATCCGACGATGATAAATGTC